CAATTTTATATTTTATGCTCCTCTTATATATAAGAACGCATTACATTCTTCTTTCAGATTGGTAATTATTATAAATTGTTGTGTTTAAGTTTTAAAGATGAAAAAATAGATACAAAAGAATAAAATAGCAGAAAATAGAACAACTGCCTTTTTTACTTTATTTACTTGTTTACTTTTTTAGAACGTCAACCGAACTAGAGGTATAGTTCAACAAATGCACGGTATTTTGCTAATTGATATACTGCTTGATTTGTATTATATTATGAATTTAATTCAAAATTTTTTTAAATTTAATTATAGCCTATGCATCGTATGAATGATAAAACAGAAACTTGTACAGAAACTCACGTATTTATTCCTTAATATCATCTGGATTTATTTTTTTAAATTAATGATTTAATCAAGATTTCCTCTTTATGCTTATCTCGATGTTTTTCGCGAAAGTGCGTCACGCATTTCTGAACTCACATATTATTCGATATCCGGAGAAGGAATATTAGCCTTACTGTCTTTTGCAGATATTAGGTACAGTAAATGAGTCAATAATAATTTCTTTTATTAAAAAAATATTATTATATATTCATTTGAAAAAAATATTTGTATTTAATTATTAAGCGCATTTTTATATATTGAGGACAAAATACTTATAGAAATAAATATTTACCTGAGAAAAAATTATAATATTTGTATATTTTATTTATAAATTAGATTGTCTTTTGATAAAAAAACATTAAATTTAAGATTTTATAAATACATTAAATGTTTCGTTTTGTTTTTTTTTTAAATTATTGTGTAAATATTGTGTAAATATTCTATATTTACAGTCAGTGAGCGTAGTCAAGAGTTCTTTGAAAGAAATTGAGTATCTTAAAAAAATTACAGTTATATTTTAAAAATATATTACATTCACTAAAATGCATTTACTTATTTGTTAGTTATAGCACTATTATTAATAATCACTATTATCACTATTAATTATAACTTATTCGAGTCGAGATATGCTTTTTACAAAATTTTTTCCGCTAAAGTTTTAAATAAAAATCTCCAATAAAAAATATTTCGAATGTGCCAAAGATAACTGTTTCAAAATAAATATTCATGTTTGTCGAAACTTCATCTTCATGATTGAGCAGATATTTTTATTTTTTCGGATTTGCGTTCGGAGATTGGAGAGATCAATCTATCGATCGTCATTTTTATATTTGTAAAAAATTTTCAAAAAGCATGTTTCGTAGAAAGCAAAGCAAGCTATAATTAATGATAATGGTAATTGGATGCCATAATTAATTGTAAGTAAATATTATTACATTTTAGTGAATGTAATGTGTACTTCTAAAATATAACTTTGATTTTTAATATACTTTATTTCTTTCAAAGAACTACTGGCTATAACGCTCTTGTACCATTGACTATACTACGCTACACACTACGCTACACATATTCTCTACATAATTCTTTGAATTAGAAAAGTAAATTAAATTAAATTCATAGTTTTGTTTTTAATAAAAAATATATATTTTATGATAAATTTAACATTTCACAATTTTGTTTTTCAATTATTAACTATCAATTTTTATATAATAAATGGGATACTTGAAATTATTATTACTACCAAGAATCTTTCAGCTAAATTAAAACGGTACCTCAACAAGATCAGCGTTTGCAAGTAATTCTTGTCAATCCACTTTAGCTTTATGCGAAATGTTTTATACGTTTTATATCGGGAAACATGGTAATGTCTTGGCGCTAACTATAATATGCTTCTAATTTTAGAATTTTATATATCAGAATAAAAATTTTTATAAGGGTTTTATTTGCTTTTTTCAATTGCTTATAACTTGAAAACTATTTGTACGTATTGTTTAACATTACATTTAATTGATAATACAATAATGAGAATAATGTTACAATACGTTATAAAACAAAAGATTTAATCCAAAAAATCAACAATAATCTTAAAGTTGAAACATTTAATTATAAATAAAGTTCTTTTAATAAAATTATAGTAAGATATATATAATAAAATATATAGATCAAATTAATAATATATTGATGCAAAATCATTGCAGACAATAATGAAGTATGCAAAGTAACATTTCTATTTCGATCCATCATTAAATGATAAACGCTGCTGTAAATATGCGTCGCATAATCTTCAATTTACAACCCCATATCCTCCCATACGTACTTTTAAGGGTGACCGGTAGTTGTTGCCTGCGCCTTATCTTCGCGGTTAGAGCTGACGTCGGAATGCCGGCGTGCGGCATCGAATTGCTGATAGTCTTCCGAAAGTAGTCTACTCGATCTCAATTCTTATTTCGCGAATTCCTTCCCTCAAATAAGCAATTAAAGATCACTCCTCGAAAGACCAAAAAAGATAATCAGTGCGCTTTTTAGTGATTATATAACGCGACGTCACCTTTCTTAGAGAAGACGTGAATGGTGGTGCATGGCGCCAACTCGCTCGCTTATTTATATAGGTGAGCAACGATGAATAGGATATCTAACCCTCAGGTATCTATCCCGATCTTCCCAAACAGCTACGGTAACAATTCACTGTTCAAGACTAAACCCGTAAGACTGAACCGAAGCGTTCGAACTGGGATCGAGCTTACTTTCCTGTGCAGTCTGATCCTCTCCTCCTCTCCTGCTCTCGCCCTCCTGGCGCAGTCTTCTCCTACTCTACATGCCAGGCCCACACTACTTCGTTTCCACCACTCTCCACCGCCACCCATCGCAATGACCGAATCATTAACTTCAGGAAGGGTCCTGGCTCGCGCTCAAGCAAGGAGCACACGCGCAGGGAGTTCGCCGAATCGACACGAAAACTTCCTTCCTATTCCTTTCTTTCTTTCTTTTGCGCGTCCCTAATGCATTTAAGGACATAGTAGCGCCCTTTGACCCCCTTTTTCTTAAGAAGAGAGTTTCTTCTTTAATCTCTTAATCTTATTTGTTTCTTCTAACTTTACATATTAACTGTGGAAAAGGGCTATATGATCTTTTTTATTTTAAACATTTCTTATTAAAAAAAATTTATAAAAATGTTTATTTATATCATTTTTATATCATATTTATATCTATAT